CGTAGCCTCGCAGTTTAATAATGACAGTACAGTTCAGAGGAGATATGGTTGCCGCATTCAGGGTAACCGATGCGCCACAACATAAGACCGTATAATGCAACCGAGTCCGGGGTAACCCAACCGACGACCAACCTACAATCCACAACGTTAAAACCCCCAGAAGACAGCCTCTCACCCTTGGCGCTTGGAATGTACGTACCTCTAATGATAGTGATAATTCAATCAGACCGGAACGTGCAACAGCTATCATCTGCAGAGAATTAGAGAAAGCATGTATTGATATCTGTGCGCTCAGTGAAGTGCGACGTTCCGGCTCAGGCAATATCGTTGAAAGAAGTCACACAATCTAGTGGAGTGGGGGAAAAGAGAAAGCAGCAGGTGTTGGTTTTGCCATCTCCAACAAACTAGCTCCTCAAGGTATCAATCCGATACCAATCCATGCCAGGCTTATGTCAGTGCGCATACCAAGACTGAAGAGTGGCGAACACCTTCAGCGTGTATACACAAACTATGCAAAGAACACAAGAAGACAAAGAACAGTTTTATGAGCGGCTTGGCACTTGCATTACAGCAGCTAAAGATGACAACATCACAGTTCTAGGTAATCATAATGCTCATAATAATAGGTGATAATAATAGTGGCATAGACTGGAAATCGTGGCCATCTGTCATCGGTAAACACGGCGTTGGTAATATGAATTCAAATGGACTAATGCTATTAGAGTTCTGTACCAGATTTCAGCTTACAATCATGGGTACAATGTTTCAACTTAAAGACAGTCTGAAGAACACATGGCAGCACTTGCAGTCAAAGCACTGGCATCAGATTGACCATGTACTAGCAGATCAAGCTGCAAAGCAACACGTCATAGTGACCAAAGTCAATCAAACAGCAGACTGCTTCACTGATCACAAGTTGATTGTTTGTAAGTGTTATTTCTCCATAAAGCCAAAGAAGAATGGCACAAAGCCTCCCAAAAAGCTTGACACTGGCCTCAAAAATGAAAGAAAAGAAATGCTGGACCAGTTCCTAAATGAAAAATTGTCTGATTGCAAAGAACATTGGGAAGAATTCAGAGAAGTGCGTCAAAATGCAACCAAACACGTATTTGGAAAGAAGGAAAAGAAACAATGACTGGTTTGACGAGCAGGATGGAGAAATCAGAGAGCTGCTTCAAAACAAGAAACTGAACAGGAATGCTCTTAGAGAGCGTATCAAAAAGCTAAAGAATGACTGGTTCCAGCGAAAAGCTAAAGAAGCAGAGATTTTCTCACAGAAAAATAACCATAGAGAATTTTATGCCACTCTCAATGCTGTCTACGGTCCAAGAACTAAAAGCTCCCATCCTCTTAGATCAAAAGATGGCGAGCTCCTGACTTCACCAGATAGCATCAAAAACAGATGGGTAGAGCATTTCAGTGATCTTCTAAATAAACCAACTGATATTGATTTAAGCATCTTGGATGACATAGAGGAACATCCCATTATTGCGTCCTTCGATGATCCAATCTCAGAAGAAGAGCTAGCTGAATCTCTCAAGAACATCACATTGGGAAAAAGTCCGGGCCCTGATGGAATCCTCCCTGAAGTTCTTGTGCATGGCGGCGCTCGTTTGAGAGCTTTCCTACTTGTACTCTTTCACATCTTCTGGACGACTGAGGAGATTCCCTCTGACTTGATTGATCCTAACATCACCATCCTGTTCAAGAAAGGTGACAGAAGTCAGTGCGGCAATTATGTAAAAGTCCTAGCAGACGTCATCTTGCAGCGACTACATCACCTTGCAGAGAAGATATACCCACAATCTCAGTCAGGGTACCGCAGGGGCAGAAGTAGGCCTACTGTGGATGGAATCTTCACCCTTCGACAAGTAATGGAGAAAACAAGAGAACAGCGCAGAAGTTTGTATATAGCTTTCGTGGACTTCACTAAAGCGTTTGACACCGTCAATGATGAGCTACTCTTTATCATCCTGAGTAGGCTGGGCTGCCCTGCAAAGTTCATAAGAATCATCAAAAAGCTATATACGAACGTGCATGCAAGACTCATCGTAGATGGTGAACTCACACAGGCCTTTGAGTACAACAGTGGTGTCAAGCAGGGTTGTAAGCTAGCACCAACTCTCTATGGCATCTATGCAGCTGTTTTACTTTGTCTTGATTATAAGAAAATCAAGCACACCTGCAGTGTAAAGGTCAGATTTCGCTATGATGGTGATCTATTTGATCTTCGAACACTGAAATCAAAGACCAAAGTTCTTACCGAGTACATCAGGGAGGCTCAATATGCAGACGATATAGCCATATTCAGTGACACTTCAGTGGGACTACAGTTGTTACTCACAGCTTACAACGACCTTGCTAAGACGATGGGACTACTGCAATTCATCTATCTATCATTCATCTATATTGCTATTATTATATATATATATGAAGCTAGATACTAAAAGGAAAGCATGCGCCGAATTATTCTAAGTAATAACCGGATAGACGATCGATATATATGTGTGATACATTATCTTTATACATAATTTGCTTCAACCGAAAATTCTTATCCGCACGATGTGTATGTGAATGTCACACATAAGTTATACTTCACTCACAATCTGTCTGTACGTTCCCGTTGCAGTTTTGCTAATAAACTATATGTACATCAAATGGGCATTTTATATCCGTGATGATTTGTTGCGACGTTATTTCGCATTATACCATCGTCGTATAATCGTCTACATATGAACTAATACAACTTTGTTATTTCGTAGGATATCAACATCAACAATATGCCAGATTAAGACGTTAATATGACGACTTTAGCACGTCGATGGGGTGCTCGGCAGATGTCCACAAAGGAGCAAAAAAGGACGGGGTTCCACCTATAATCAGTAGTTATTCGCTAATAGCTCAATGACATCGAGTGACAAGCACGTCAATCCGACGTAGGTTAGTACCGTGGATCTGCGTCCCGTAGAAACAGTTCGGGCTTCCACATGCAACGTTTTAGAGACATCTGGCGTTTGCTTGGAACTACTTTCTCATGCTGGACATGCCATTCCAACAACTCTTTGTTTTACTTTTCTACTCTGCCGACACAAATCTTTTTCCTTTCTTCTGTGAGAACTTTAGCAATACGCATATCATCAAAGCGGCACAGCCTACGTACTGTCCGAGCCGTCACTGATCAATGCGCATCATGATTGGCTAGATCTACATGTTAAACAAATCGCTATCCCATAACAAACACCGCAATCATTACGGTCGCGTCAATACATAACAATATACAATGCTAGTTGTTCAGGTGGACTGAAGCTAAAGGGGGGCTTATGTCGAGCTTGCGAACCGACTCGACTGGAAGCAACTGGATTTCGAGCAACTGGAAGCGATCGGCAGCGACTAGTTGCGTCCAGTTGCCCACTGTTCTATTCCGAGCAACTAGTGGCGGCCAGTCGCAGGCAGTCGCGTCGCAGTCGACTGACCGAAGCACTGCAGTCGCAGTGAATTGCAGCCAGTTGCTACCAGTCGAGTCGGCTCGCAAGCCCAACATAAGCCCCCCTTAAGTGATCGGGAGCGTTTGTTTTCCTGTTTGGCATGGAATGACTGAATGTTCAATAGGTAAGCCGCAGCACGTATGGAAGTAATGCATATATAAAGCATGATCGTATACTCAAAACACAGATTGCTGGCAACAGTCAATAGCCAAAAAGCCACACTACTTTTTATTAATTTTAAACAATATAGGCTCAAGTGACGGTAAATATAAAGGGATGATAGCGAGATATTCAGCACATACAGTGACAGTAAAACAACTTCTTTCAATCATTACTCTAAAACTAAATTACTCAACTACAAACTACTAACTAAAAGGCACTCATGGAGTGCGAATCCTCCGTACACGCGATCACTAAGTTTGAAGTGTCTACCTCTTACGGTTGCAAAGATATAGAGCGGACAGACACACACCGCCACAAACACACACACACGCACGCACGCACGCACGCACGCACACACACACACCGCCACATACATCGAGCACGAAAACAATATCCTCTGCTGAACTACGTGCGGAGGAGGATAACTACTAACTGCAACCTACATGCATCGCTCCGTTATTTAATGAACTCGCTCCTGTGCTAGCAATCACGCGGTAATGTCATCATGTACTTGTACAATACTAAAGAAAATATAGCCAATGTCACGCGGGTCGAATTTTCATTCACTGTGTCCAGCCCTGCACTTTAGCTTCACGACGCGATTCCCAGTTGACATGCAGTCTTTACTAAAGTAAGGCATAACTACCCATCTCTCAGACTTCCACAAAATTCACCGAGCACCTCAACGTCGGGGGAACCTGCAGCTATGAGCCATTAATAGAGCACCCTCCTAGTGCAGGACCACTCTCACGAGTCAAGCCCTTCCTGCTTACAGCGCTTACTAGTACAAGGCTAAGCCCTCCTCCGCACCAGCGCTTACAAGTACAAGGACAGCCCTCCTGCTACAGGTACCAGCTACAAGCCAGCCCCTCCTGCCTACAGTTAGCAGTACAAGGCAGCCCTACCATGCTTACAGGTTACAGTAACAAGGCAGCCCTCCTGCTACAGGTTAGCAGTACAAGGCAGCCCTCCTGCTACAGTTACAGCTACAAGACAGCCCCTCCTGCTAGCAGGTACAGTACAAAGGCAGCCCTCCTGCTACAGGTTACGAGTACAACGGCCAGCCCTCCTGCTACAGGTTTACCAGAGTACAAGCCAGACAACACCCTTCCTGCCCGTAACAGGTTAGAGTCAAGGCAGCCCTCCTGCTACAGTTAACAGTAACAAGGACACGCACCTCCTCCCTGCTACAGGTTTATCAGTACAGAGCCGAGCCCTTCCTGCTACAGTTTACAGTACCAAAGCCAGCCCTCCTGCTACAGGTTACAGTACAAGGCAGCCCTCCTGCTACAGGTTACAGTACAAGGCAGCCCTCCTGCTACAGGTTACAGTACAAGTCAGCCCTCCTCCCATATGTTACAGTACAGGGCAGCCCCCTGCTACAGATCAATAGTGGCCTTGCTCTTAAACTTCTTCGAGCATCGGTCCGCGGGCCGGTGCACGAAGTGCTTGCCGTAGAGCGTCACGACGTGACCTTCGAGCTCGAAGGTGAACACGCACGTCGCCTTCGGCACGGTGACGAGCCGGTCCTCGCGCGTCACCAGCCGCCACGTGCAGCGCGTCTCCTGCAGCACGATGCCGGCAACGCCGACGAGCGACGGGCAGCGTGAGCGCGCCACCGTCAGCACGCAGCCGTGGTAGTCGGCTTTCAGCAGCCTGTGCTGCGCGTCGGCGGCGAGCGCGCGGCTCGGCTCTAGCTGCAGCAGCGAGCGCATGTAGCCGCGCCACAGCGTGTGCAGCGGCACGTGTGTGCGGTACGTCTGCCGCGCGGTCGAGGCGGCGAAGCAGTCAACGCCGCGACGCTCGCGCGCATTCAGCTGGCGGCGGCCCTTCTTCTGGAGAGACGAGGGCCGCTTCTTCGGCACGACTGTGTCAAGGAGCACCACCTGCCGAGGAGAAAGAGTGAAACAGGGGGTTCCGTCGTCAGAAACAAAACTAACGTTAATGTCGTTATATGATGTTTAGAAGGACTTTTTCTCGTAGACTGTTGACAGGAACATCGTAAAGTTACGAAAACGAGACATCAAAGCAAAATTTCTTATAACATTGCAATATCTCAGACTCTCGTAACTATCAAACTAAGATGAAAAGAATGCAATTACCTGACAAAATTACAATTAATTTATAATATATCTTATATTGATGAGTAAAACCTGTATTTTTCATGAAAAAAACATCGGAAACAAAAATTTACAAGATGATGCTTAAATCCTGTATTACCATGTAGAATAATGTCTTGTCATGACATTACATACACAACTAGAGCACTCGGAGAGCACAGACCTCCGCCAAGGCAGCTGAATTCTCTCAATGTGGAATTTTTTATTAATTAATTAATTAATTAAGTGGAAAAATTAATTAATTAATTGGATCCGGATTAGTGCGAGTGTGCAGGTGGGGGAGGACTGTGGTTGCCCCTTAGCCTGTGTTTGCGTGTTTGTAAGTCTACAGCCAGCGCACCTAGCGGAAGTGAACTGAAACGTGCATGTTCACAAACAAACCAACCAACACTCAAACATTCGCTGGTGAAAACATAACCTCCGCCAGGTAATAAATACATGATCCTGTCGTTTTTTCATCAATTATTAATTAAATGTAATTAACAGCTGTAATCATATGGATAATATGCATATCTATTAATATTTCATAGTGTCATACCTCGAATTCCAAAACCTTAATGAATCGTCAGAAATGTCTAATACAGATGTGGGAAAATACACATTACACATATGCTGTACTTAGTAAAGATCCTCATATTAAACTCAGCCTAATATAGATGTGGGGGAAATTGGGGCACCCGGGGGGGAGGGTTCTTGGATTATATTTAGACGGGGGTGTGAGGATGTCAGTGGTGGTATACAGAGTATTAAGACAAATTAACAACATTAGCTACAATGAAAAGTTCCGTCGATCCTCATTAATTATCGATTGATTCGCAGCATTATGCAGCACCATTCACAGTGCAGTAGCCACATTATTATTTATGTGGGAGGATACAAACATGTAGGTACATAAGTCCAGTTCGGATGACAAATTCTTCGTAAAGCAGGGGCCACACCATGCGCATTTCGCTGCGATCATATCTGCAGCAAAATTTGCAGCAAAAATATTCGCACCCACATGCGATAATTCAGCGGACACACCATGCGAATATATTCGCACGACCCATAGCACGACAGCAGCGGACACACTACACGCGATCTACTGTCTGTCTGTACACAGCAGTAAAAATCCACAGCGAAAATATCAAACATGTGTTATCGCTGCGAATTTTGGTGTGGATGAAATTCGCGGCGAAATTCGCCTGCGCTTGAGCGGACACACCATGCGAATTCCGCGGCGGTTTTAAAATCTGCTGCGGTCGTGCGAATAAATTTGCATGGTGTGTCCCCCGCTTAATTAAGCAAAGGTCAACAGATCGCAGACAGTAACGAACAAACCACCGACAGGAAACGTGAGCAGGACACGTGTTAAGTCACGTTGTCACAATGTAACAATCAATCCTCGAAATGGTCCGATTACCAGACTCCACACAAACATGAGTGTCAGAAGTGAGAGTTTTCACACTGCCAGATTAGTACAAAATAAGCAAGTCCTGGAACACCCCTAATTGTCTACGCTTCTAATCACAATGAAAACTACTTCCCAGAAACTAGCTATAGCTACTAAAACTCCATGTGCAAAACATATATGCTACAATAAGATAGGCTGAGCAAATTCCAAGGGGGGGGGGCAAAATTTCATGACTCAACTCAGTCAACTGGGTAATGATGAGCGACGGGCGCTGCTCTTGTTCGACGTCCATAGTGTGGTAGGGTGGATCTGAGACAAAGCTTTCACCAATAAGTGACCAAAAAATCACGTTATACGCGCTGGCCCGCACCAATTTGGCCCCGCAAATGAAGAAGGGCCAGGCCCAGGATAGCTTAGCCCAGACCAAAATAGCCCAATTGTGTGTGTATGTGTGTACGCAACATATGCATGCCAAATCCGGTGCTATTTCGCAATATGCATACGCGTAGCCTTATTTAGGTCACATAAAAGTACCCTAATTGTCTGCGGGGTGACGTAGCGAGCTGAACTGAGCATGCACAGTCAAACCGTGACTCATTTGATGTAGGATCAAATTTGCAGTCTGTTACACTACGATTAGACGCACGCCTGACCCGCACCAGTTTGATGTAGGATCAAATTTTGCAGTCTGTACGGAGTATTAGAGACGAAGATCAAGAAACAAAGATTCTGTTTGCTCACAGAATCGTCGTGTTCTCTCCCGAATCACTCTTCGGTTGATCGATTATTACCACAGTTGTTCTTAGAAACAAGATCCTTTTGTTGCACATGCAGATGCAGAAAGTCTATCCCCACTACTACTCATTTTACCTGGTGAGCATCGTTTGCTGCAGCCGCTGTGGCTAGATTTCGTGGGGCGACATGTCGGCGTAGGAAGCTGCTTAGATAGGCACTGCCGTCTCTCACGTCGTCAGCCAGTTTAAGCTGGGTGGCCTGTCGCTTAACACCCGCTGGCAGCTCACTGTACACAGCGGAATCTTGCGTGGGAGTGCTCATGTTGTCTGTGTGTTGCCAGAACAGCGTAGAACAAGACAGAAGCCGGATACGCCAGTAGGGTTGTGCGCGGTGTATATCCTGTAGCGTGGGTTAAACGAGCCGGCTTCGCTGCAGGAGGCTGTAGCCCTTCTATTAATGATAAGATCGAAAAAAGAAGTATTATAATTAAATATATATAATCAGAAGTAGATAATTGTAAATGATTCCATAGAAAACAACTGTAATACAGATTTCTTATTATATCCTGTATTAAACAATTACAGGAATTAAGACATATTACAGACTCAATCTGTTCCAGGAACAACAAATTTTCAGGGCGCGAAATTAGCACCGGCCCACCGGCATATGCCGGCAAATTATTTGCGGCCGCATAATCAATATGGCGCTGCTGCAATACTACAACATTTTTCGGACAAGCCAGATCGAGTCAGTGAGTCTTCTTTATTTTCGAAAAAAAACTTGTGAGGGCTGGTAAATTATGGTGACGGCTGGTAAAAAAAACTGCTGTTGCCAGCCCTCTCAGCTGGTGCAAAAAGCTGAATTTCATGCCCTGGAAATATGTTGAGTAATTCTCAATTTTCTGCTGCGACCTACCTAAATACCTCTGATTGATACAAACACCGAGAAGTATGGAAAATAACAGAAGAACAGATGTGGCTACATTCCATTGTCTAGAGGTGAATCACAACTGCCAATCACTCAGGTTTACTTCAAACATTGAGACAATCTGCATACATGTGCATCGCAGTGGAAACAAAACATTTGACCAAGAGCTGAAGACGGAGAAAAAATCACCCGGAAATAAGAATTGCCAGAATTGTTACTGATGTACGTCATATAAGTCATCGTTATATGAACATATTATATAACATACACACCACCACTTTTACATGACATATTTGATATCATTATATTCATTGTTGCACAATTTCAAACAGTATTAACAAAACCACTGGCAGTATTTTTAATGGATTTATTTCAAACCTTGTCATATAATATTCTAGAACCACTACATCACAATACAGCAGTACAGTGACAGTCATAACTACGTCAGGGCTGCCAATTCTCACACATTTGACGTGAGACTCACGCAATAGAGGCTATAATCTCACGCTCTGACGCGGGTCTGCTAATTCTCACGCATACAGAAACAAACAGATAAAAAACCGAAGTATACTCTAGAGCATTTCAATTCGCTGAACGGTTCTAGATCGATCCTTACTTGCCAATTGTTTTATGTAAGTGAGTTTTGCCTAAAAAGCTGAAGGAGCAACCATATATGTCACCTCTTAATTATAAGCAGAATAAAGGACCGAACAGTAGAGGTAATATAAATACAATTCCAAGCAGGATCTAGTGATGTGTTGTTTTGAGCTATCCATACATATCAAGAGTACATAATAGAGAAGAGTATGACACGGTTTTAACAGCGTTTTGCATAGTTTTCAACTTGTAAATATTCTATCAATATGTGAATAAATATATTCAAACTTTACCTTGTTTTCGTCTATGATTCTCCCTTAATGATATGACACCATAAATTTACCTGAAAATCGTATGTGTTCTTCAAAGAAGTTATTTGAATACGACACGGTTTCGCACAGTTTTCACGCATGGATGCATGTTTTAGACTAAACTTTCCATCGGGATTAGTGTTCTATTGTCTATGACGGAACTTTGGGGACCGTAAGGGATATTAGGCATCGAATTGTATTCAGCGTGCAGCGTTTCCAGCGTGCTAAAAATAAATGTGCTCACGGCCAGCTAGCTAGCAGCTGATTCCCTTACGGCCCCCAGCGTACCGTCATAGACAATAGAACACTAATCCCATATCAAAGTTTGGTCTAAAACATGCATCCATGCGTGAAAACTGTGCGAAACCGTGTCGTATTCAAATAACTTTTTTGAAGAACACATACGATTTTCAGGTAAATTTATGGTGTCATATCATTAAGGGAGAATCATAGACGAAAACAAGGTACGCGACGTTAATTCGGGCAAGTCTCTTTGGCTACACTAAAGTTATAGTTAGTGCAGCGTGTGAAACTCTCCACCGCGCGGCAGTCTAACAAAAATTCTCTGCGAAGCCGGTCGAAGAGAGCCTCGTCGCGCCATCTATGGGCCGCGATATGTACGAGAATAACTTCAGGGCGTTAAATTAAATAAATTAGAAATCGCTTTTATAGGAAAAAAGGTAACGCGCGAACAAAAAAAAACAGCAATTACGACCATTGGATTTATTCTCGCCCTACGTGTATAGTCGAAAGGCTTCTGCAATGGCCAGAACTGCTCAATTGACCGATTATACGGCTTTATCCTATTCCCAGAAGGGCCTCGTGAAAGTATTCTAAATAAGGGCAGCGATTAAGTCATTGTGTCGCCGCTGCGCGGCGTTTGCGCGCTTCGCGCGTATATCCGGCTGCAGATCGTCAAGCACTAGGGCACAAATTATTGGTTATTGCATTTATTGTTTTATTTCTTGTTTATTCCTTAATATTAAGATTAACCTTTAAATGAGAAATGATATTCTACTATATACAGACACTGCACTAAAGAGTAGTGCTTTAGGATATGAGCCTGAGGTTATAATCCAAACAGTATAAACATGTATCTATTAAAGTGATTACGTCACCGTAAATAGTAAAAATAAAAAATAAAAATCCACGTTTTCACAAAATATAAGTAATTCTGTTCACTTTTTATGGTTAAATTGCTGCATTATACTTCCTGTTTTACTATATTATTCGATGTGAACATACACTCTATGTGAACATGAACATACATAGCCCAGAGCAAGCAATTAATGTCAGGAACATAACATCAAACCGTCCAGGTATTTTGGATTTTTAACTAGTTGAGAAACAATCTTATCAGGTAAGAATTTGACATTAGTTCTTACTTTTAATGTAAAAAAATGGCAACAAAAATTTTACACATTTTACCATAGAAAATCCGTGACGTAGTCAATTTAACCACATAATTACAATGCTATACCAAAACAGAAATATAGTGGTACTACTTGCTTGACTTGACTCACGAGACAACACAAGACAAACTTATCTAAAGCATGGGGGCAAAACACACAATGAACCTGCCTTTATTCCTTAGGCCAAACAAAAAAATAGGTGTGTTTCCAGTCGACCAACCGTCCCTAGATTATTAGGGCCGACCCTAAACTTTATTTCCAAAAAAAAAAGAAAAAAAGTTATTTTTAATTTGAAATCTGACAGACAAAACTCTCAACAAGGTATACATACATATTCAATATTAAAGCAGAATACAAATGAGGAATCCTATTTATAACCTGTAAGATGTCGAATTAGCAAGCACCTGTAGAATTGTATTAAAAAAATCCCTACCTAGCTACCTACCCTACTTTTGTTTTCGATGCAATAGGAAACACACCTTCTTTTTTTTGCCTTAGCTGCAATAATAATTACATGGTATACCTTTGTAGCGATTTCTATCTCAGTCGCATTATTGAGATGCCGACATTGCTCAAACTCTGTCCGGATACGCTGGTAGTAATAGTGCTGGTCTGTGTACCTCAAGTGTTTACCTTTCCTCAGTAATGCTTTGTACAAGCTCAATGCTGCCTGCCTGGTCCACATTCTTTGTTTGTCTAAACATCTAAAAATTCAAAACAGAAAAGAGAGGAAGCCCTTGTAAATAATACCAGTATACTGTATAGAGAGCAATAATTATGTCACGTAAAAGCTAGAGCTCTCAGAAACAGAAAACAGTCATTTAAAAGTAAGCCCCGTCTGCCTATATAGACAGTTGTTCCTGGGTTTCCTTAGTTAATCCTGTTCACCATACATGTAGGCCTTTGGTATGCATGCTGTCACTGCTGTTACTCGTACTTATGTAGTGCGGCATCGTTACGCTGGAATTAAGTGCCCATATATGAATGCACGTCATTCAGTCAATATACTGTATACTAAACAGTACTATAGTCGATCTAGTATATGGCTATTACAATATTATCATTAATAATATTATTTTAAGCGCACTCGCTAATCTGACCCATTGTGTATTCTATAGAGGGTTCCGCAATTTTTCATATTACCCACAATGCAAGCCGCCAGGGCCATGAACATTACAGAACACAGTCAGGCATGGGTAACAAAAGTACATTGGCAAAACAGACTGTTCTATGCTAAATATATTAATTCGCCGTTTTGATTTATTATTAAGAATCATCACAACGACGCTCTTGTGCGGTGTTGTCGAAACTTGACAGCATCAGTATCAGAAAGAGAGCAACACAGCTTTTTATAGTGCTAGAGCTAGGTGAAATCACAAAAACCATAGCTAAACGTGAACGAGAGGAACAAAGAAGACGGAACCACGACGTTGAGAGACACTTTTCATAAAAAGGCAATGTTAATAAACGAGAAATTTATTTACACAAATGTCTTTAATGTATTCTCTGCTCAACTTATGCCTAGTATTGCCAGATAAATTACATGTAAATGCAAGGTCAAAAATGAATCCTCTGAACACACGTACAGGTCACAGCGCCGCACGGCTCACGAGCCTACAATATTTTTAACTATAAAATAAAAAATAACATATATCCCAGGCTATCGTAGGCAGCTGTATGTGAGAGTGAGGGGTTGTTGATTTCTCTTGACACGTGCAGCATACTCTAATAAATAGACCGCAGGCAACATCGTAGAAGCAGAATTCACAAAGCACCAGCTTAATAAACAAATTAGTAGTGACTGACATAGAATGACTGATACCCACTTTATCTTGCATAGTCGATCAAATGCAACGGATAGAGAAAGTCATTAAGATGGTATAAATCAGACGAATGGGAATAGTGCATAACACGTGCTTCGAGATAACGGTAAGATAGGAGGACTTCACTAAGTTCACAAATGATAGATGTAGACTGATACACCACTAACAACCGCAGAACATGTCGATCGTAGGAATTTCAGAGCTTTTGTAGTCAGGTTGAAAAAGTCCTTGCAGAGTAAAAATGGATCTCGGCTAGAATAGTTAGAGTATTCAATTCACGAGATCCTAATCAGTACAGTGAGATGAGGCGCAATGTATGATAGGTTTCGACTACCATTTAATCAGTACACGAGGAATGTCGTTCCAATGCACGCATGTGTGTGTGCGAGATTAGCATGTGCTTTGGCTAGTTGTCTAAGTGAATCAAGTACTTATGTCCATGACTGATAACCCTTCAGAACAGTTGGCAGTCAAGGTGTATAATAAACGCTGCGTTTGATAAGCTAGTATGCAGTAAATCTGAGGCTTTTATGAACACTGCGATGTAAACAAACTCAAGTCCATGACATATAGTTTGTTGCGTGCAATTGCGCGACGCTAATTATTAATGACGCTGCTAACCTGAGACCGAAGTAATTAGTTGACTACTAGCGGAGCACCAACCACGCTGATAACTGTCNAATTAATGATTAGTCTTAGAGATAATATAGGCCTACTAATACAGTTGTGTTTATTATTACATTAGACTCAATTTTGACATTTCCATGGAGAATCACTGACGGGCCACCAGTCTCCGATTAAAGGAACGGCTAAGAATAAAGGTATTTGTTTATTTACTAGTTTCCGTATCACATAACTCCCTGAAATTGGATATAATTGATATATTATTGATTATATATTAATATATATCTAGACTTGTTATTATTAGAAATAGATAGGCTTGTTTTTATATTACTTATTTGTACATTAAAAATTAGAAAAAAATTATCAATTTTTTTAATTCGATGAATAATGAAGACTTTGAATATGGTAAATTTAGTTATCCGCATTTTCCATGCTGGTTACTGTTAGTATTTAGTATTTGCGTGCGTGTGTGTTATTTTCACTGGATGCTAGGCTACATGAGGATGTAATGTGTATAATAAAGAAACAATTTTGGTCAAGTGGCTGCTGAAGCTGTGAATTCGTGTGTGTAGAATCTAACATGATATTTCTCGAGCAGCCATAACCTGACAACGTTTTCTGTGATTTTATATTTCAGGTTATTCCGGTTGCGCCTCGCCGCATTTGTGGGCTGAATGATGTGTAAGTATTAATAGTAGCAATAAGGTAAATGATGCATGTGAATGTTATTGTTTTATCAAAATTTCATTGTTTTAATTTTACATTAGAATTATTAAATATCCTAGTTACTTCATATGTGCATTAGTTTACGCCAGGACAGCAGACTCCTACATTACCAGTATAAATAAATAAATAAATACATAAATAATGTTTATATACTCTCATCAGGTAAATGATTGATGACTCACAATGCCTCAGACGACAGCTCTCCGATTCAAGGAACTGCTAAGAGTAAAGGTATTTGTTCATTTACTAGTTTCTGCATCACATAGCACCCTGAAATTGGATATAATTGATTAATTATATATTATTGTATATGAATTAATATGATATATATAATACTATATATATAAATTATTGATAATTA